TGAAGCTCTCAAGATGGTAAGTTGAGGAACTCCACTTTCCAGTGGAAGAATACTCTAATTGTTGTGTTCTTTTCCAAAGAATAAGCTACGACTTGTTGTTTTATTGGTTGCGCTGCTGAGCACTCAGGCAAGCATTATCAGAAAACCTGAGGTGCAGCAGCAAGCCAATGTGGTGTCTCAGGTGGCTGAGAATCCTGCGCAGCCAGTGCGATCGACAGTAGAGCAAGCCAGTGCGGTGATCCAGCCGGCTGAGAACCCTGTGCAGCCGTTACTGTCGAAGGTAGAGCAAGCCAATGTAGTCTCCCAGGTTGGGATTCCTGTGCAGCCGGCACGATCGACCTTGGAGCAAACCAATGTTGTCTCTCAGGTGGCTGGGATTCCTGTGCAGTCGGAACAATCGAAGGTAGAGCAAGCCAATGTAGTCTCCCAAGCAGCCGAGATTCCCGTGCAGTCCAAGAAGGAGGAGCAAACCAATGTTGTCTCCCAAGTAGCCGAGATTCCCCTGCAGTCGGCGCCGTCGAAGGAAGAGCAAGCAAATGTGGTGTCCCAACTGGCTGCTCAAGCCAATATAGTTGCCCAGGCGGTTGGAATTCCTCTTCAGCCGGTACGATCAACGGAAGAGCAAGCTAATGAGGTTATCCATCTAGCTGAGAATCCTGTGCAGCCGGAACAGTCGAAGGTTGAGCAAGCTAATAAGGTGTCCCACGTGGTTGGAATTCCTGTGCAGCCAGAACAGTCGAGGGTTGAGCAAGCCACTGTGGTCTCCCAGGAGGCTAAAAACCCTGAGCAGGCGGTACAGTCGAATGTAGAGCAAGCTAATAAGGTTATTCAGCTCGGTGAGAATCCTGCGCAAGCTAATGAAGTCTCCCAGGTGGCTGAGATTCCTCCACAGCCCGCACTGTCGCAGGTTTCCAATGCAGCTAATGTGGTAGCCCAAGATGTCCCGCAGATAGTGCATCAGCAGAAGCAGGAGGAGCCCAAGCTTTCCCATGTGGTTGCCATGGAAGTTAAGGCTCAGCAGGCGCAAGCGTCCAATGTGGTGCCCAAGGCAGCAGCTGCTCCAGTCCAGTCTCAGGCGCCAACAGTGGTTGCCACGGAGCAGCCAGAAGAAAAACCAGTTGCCAACAAGGAAACCCAAACAGTGCAGGAGCAAGCCACCAATGAAATCTCTAAGAACGAGATCCCGGAGCAAGTCGTAGTCAAAGTGGAGGGCACTGGCAATCCGGTTGTGAATAAGGCGCAAGCTGAAGGACGCACCAAATATGAACTCCAAGGTGGAGAGCATTATCCGGAGGAATTTTTCATTATTGATACGGATCCAGTTACGGCCAACAACACAAACACAACTGCCAAGCCGCCGAATAACACGCACATACACAACCATTCGCACGATCATCATTATATACAATACAAGCCGTCGCTGTTTCCGCTGCCGCCACCATTGTTCGCAGGATTTGTGCCACAGGGTTCGGGCTCAGGCTCTTACCATACCGACAACAAATACGACAATGGCAACGTGATCAACCCGGTGCCCCCATATGGAGGTGGAAATGTTCATCATTCGTATGGTAAGCCCGGCTACATTTCTCTACCTCTGCTGCCTATTCCCTTCTGGAAACCCCAAGGCGGTGGTCAAGGTGGTCAAGTCGTCAATTACACAGACCCACATCAGACGGAACAACTGTACAACAAAAAGCCCTACTATTACAATGGTGCTCCTTACTACGATCCCTCGGAGTTCTATATACATGAGCGTCGCGCACCCGAAGGTCAGGATCAACAACAAGGAGCACAAGGCGCACCGAATCAGCAGGCTCTTCAGCTCATTGGTCACATCTTTATATACAAAACACCCGAGACTGGACCAGCCCAGCCTAACCCAAAGCCAGCCGTACCCGTAGCAAGTGATGATAATACGAAGAAGTCTGAAGGTTCTCCCGTTAAAATCGATGAAAAAGTCGGCAGCTCTCAACTGCTGCTGCAGCCTGTTCTTTATGCTCCGACCAACAACAAGGAAGAGGGCGGCTTCAGTCCCAACCAGATCCATGAGATCTACCGGAGTCTCCACCTTGTGCAACCCTCCAGCCAGCAGCGCTCCCAGGCACCGGAGGCCAATGACGATAGCTCTGTGCTCTTTGCCGTCGAGATACCCAAGCCTATCTATCGCTTCTTCAAGTCCATCGCTGGCGTCTTCACCTACTAAACATCCTCTCAATCAGCCAATACGAAATCGACAATAACAAGCATCAAAAATCGAACCTATTTCTAGTTCTAAGTAGATTTTAAGTTAAGCGCTTCAGTAAAAACTTTCTGCTCACAAGAATAATTATGTGTATTCAATGGGTTAGGGGGGGCAGTCAAAGTTTATAAAAGGTATATTATGAATTGGATAATATTCCCTCATATAAAAATTATGTAAATGCAAAATGACAAAAAAGATAAGTTAAAAGATAAAATACTACCAATTAACAAATGAGAGGTTGACTCCCTCTCTAGGGTGTAGAAAACCAGAGAGAAATAGAGGGCAAGAGGTTGAGTTATAAGCATTGGAAAAGAGACATAGAGGCATAAGGATAGAAAGCGAAAGAAAAAGTTATATAAAGGTAGAGCGACATATAAAAAGGAAGGAACAGAGTACGGAAGATAATTGGGACAGTCAAAGTAGAGGCCTAGGAGTTTCTAGAAGTAAAGTAAATGGGAATGATCATAAAGTATTGAGGATGAAAAAGAGAAATGGTGTAATGGAGAAGAGTGTAAAAGAAAGAGAGAGAGAGAGAGAGGAGAAGAAGAGAGTTGTTAAGCAAAAGAAAACGAGAGAGAGTGGAGAGTGAAAGAAAATCTGATAGAAAGCGAGAGTGTGCTAGAGAGTGGAAGAAAGTATTATAATAAGAGACAGAGTGTGTTCTAGGAAGCGTGTGTCATATATAGGAGCAGAGCTATTCATCCAATCAATCTACACACATTTTAAGCTCAAATCTGAGCCGTAATGTGCTGTTGAATTTTCTAGATACGTTTCTTTTCATTGCCCTTTTACCATTTTACATATCTGCCACGAAATATGAAATGTATTCGTTAACATTTTAATCCCAAAAAACGAATGCACAAACTGGTTTGGCATTATGCAAAATCATATCAAAATTGTAATTCAGCTGTGTCCTACCTGAAAGTTTATTTTGTGTGTTTATTTTTTATGATATCTCATAGGGATGATGTGTTCTTGTTGGCATTTGCCATTTTAATGAATACATAATTAGTCTTTTTGCCAGCAAGCATTCATCGTTGCACACACTCACCAGCAGCTGCTCTTGTGCACCTGTTCAAAATTCATTCATATATGAATTTTCATGCAACATGCAACAGCACGTTGAGTTTATCAAAGTCTTTCTGTGTGTTTGTGTGTGTGGGCTTTCAGTTATCTGTGTCCGTTTGGAGGACTCCACATTGCTTATTGGTTCATTTTATGCTCTTCTCATGCAATATTGAGATAATGTTTGCCCGGGCTCATAATTGCAAGGATTACGTTGGCTCATAATGTACGCCGGAGCCAGACTCGGAGCCGGAGCTCTGCTCTGTTTGCATTTCACTTGCAACGAGGGGGAAAGGGGGGATTGGGGATCGGAAAATTGCTATTTGCTGATAGCGTTTATTTAATATTTAATTGATTTTATGCCCAAGCGATTTTTCCATTAGCCTGACACACAATCCCAATTCCGACAGCCATACGGCTACCTGAACGGACGCTTGCCTTATACCTAGGCGTGAGGGAATGTGTGGCCATCCGGCGAGGCTTATCTGATTACTTTGTTGCTTGGCATAATTAATGCAGCAATTTTAATGCTGGAGAGCGGCTACAGTTTTAAACTGCATATTGAGATACGTTAATGCATTAATAAGCCATTTTCCATTATAATTCGCAAGCAGTTTAAGCGCATTTGGTATTAGGTTGGAAGCAAGAATCTGACTATTACATTTGCTGTGGTTAACTGTGTATTTTTATGAAAACAATTTCTCGTCCTTCTCCTACCTTCACTCCCAGTGCCATAATCGAGTGGAACAATGCATGCCACAGCTTCCATGTGGTCGCTGACCACATGAACCACTAAACAAGCGTCATGCCACATCATCATCATCAGCATCCAGATGCTCATCAGCATTTGGATGTTGTGCGCTGGCCAACATCACGTATACGCAATGTGCTTTTTGTGATTTTACTCAAGCGCAAGCCTTTAAAGGGTATCTGAAGGGAAATTGAAGCTCGTAAGCCGCAGCCTTGCAGGACTTTTTAAGCAAAAAGTTTATTACCCCAAAGGAGCTGCGGAAGCAGCCCATAAATATATCATGAAATCAAAAACTTTGCCACAACTTTTGCCGCCGGAGCTCCTTTGACAGAGCGTGTGTTCCCTTTGATTGCTGGGACACCCACAGAACCCAATGCTGCCCCACATCCCCCGCCCACTCTGCCAATAACTTGCGTGTAAACGTGCTGTGCAACAAGGACTGCTCGACTGAAAGCTGAGTAATGCGCTTCCGTTTCCGTCTTGCCATTTGCCCAGCTCTCCACATGACGCTCTGGCTGAGCACTTTTCGACACAATTCAGGCTGCCTGCCGCCTGCCTTTGGAGTCTGGACTCAATTCAATAAAAGTTGTGTCCATTTAATTTAAAATTCTCTCTCCCACTCGCACACTTCTCAGCCCCAATTCTGGGCCCTGCTCCTTTGCAAATTAATGGCGTTAAAATTAGTGCCATAGACAAATTCCGCACTTGGCACCTGTCCGGTGAAAAGTTTACCTTTTCTTTTTCTTTATTTTGTTACCAGTTTATTTGGTTGTCACTTTGTGGAAAATTATGCCCAACCACCGTTGGGGATGGCGACACGTGTAACTGTAACTCCAAGTGGCTGGGCAGCCTCTCAGAAAACTTTTACATTGAGAGCCAACTTAAAGTTGTGCATTTTGCTAAATTTTACAAAACTTATTTGTCTTATTTCTCGTTTTACAGAACTGCCCATTGGCACTCGGGAGCGTCGCTTTTTTGGCATTTTACGCGCCGGCAAACGCAAGAACGGTAAGTGGAAAAATACAAAATACAACATAGAACCCTAATGAAACCAATTAGGCAAACAGCCAGCCATACAAATTGTGGCGCTGAGCATCACAAAATGAAATATCAAAGGGCTAGACAAAGGGTAAACAAGCTGCTGCACAGCTTCGGTATCCAATTCAATTACAAAATGTACCATATAACGAGAAAGCGATCCGAATTCAACGAATTTTGCATGCTCTGTAGCTAAAAGCAAATCGAGTGTTGGGGTATGTTTGATATTTTCTTATATAAATCTAGGCTGAAATATTCTGAAGACTTCTCAATATCAATGTCAGTGTTGAGTAAAGCCGTGAATAGGGCTGGATAAGGCTTAGAAAAAAGCTTGAAGAGTCCAGGTATGTTCTGCTATGAACTTATTCAGTTCTGAAAATTTCCAATTTTTGTACAATTTCTTAGTTTTTTTTTTGCTAATATGAATTTCCTTGACCGTAAATGCCAGTGTTGCAAAATGTCGGAAATATTACTTGAAACGCATCATCGAACTCTGAACTGAAGTTTTCTCTGAAGCCTGGTGCAAGTTTCTCTTCAAGTTTTGCAACTCGCATCCATTTCTTTGAAGTGTTTGCCAGTTCGGGCAGCCCAACTGGACTCCCCGAAATGCTTCACCTGTCCAGGGTAAAACAAAATTTGAAGTAGTCAATTGAAATTGTGCCAGTTTGAAGGCAGGTGGGTGACGACAACAGGGTGGGCTTTGCTGAACACAAAAGCCATTTACCAAAATCAATAGATTTATTCTGGACCGCAGCCCTGGAAACTGAATGCGGAGTTCTGGGCACAGTTCTGAGGCCAACAACTGGCATACAAATTGGGGCTTAGCAGCTCAAAAGATACTTTTACATCGGGGAAATAAAAGCATTTTCCTGCCTACCTCCCTTTCCTACCTTCCTCCAGCTGCCTTTCTCTCTTCCTCTAAGCTGGCCATTTGATTCGGCCAAATTGTTGTGCGCTTTGTGGCCAGGACTTAGGCAAATATGTGTACGCAAAGGCTTAACAATTTTAATAACTGTTCGCATTGAGGAACCAAGGCCCAGGCTCAACTCATCAGGGCGAGCGTCTCGCCGCTGTCTCGCCACGTGGAGTCAGCCCCTCCACGTGCCACAAGTGGATTATCGGCTGGTTCTCTGGCTGGGCTTAGGCATCATTACAGTCTAAATGCCTTTAAATGGCCACATTCATATCAATTGCAGCTCAAGCTGGCGCCAGGCCCACCCGTGGAGCCAACCAGGCAGACGCATTCATCATGCCGCCTATCCTTTCCAACCTGTGCCCCCTCTCGTTCCTGACACCCTGTCGTCTTCAATTAAACGCAAATTATTCTGCGCTCAGCGAGCGGCACCTGTCCGGGTCGCCCATTTGGCCAGTGATCAATCCAACTTATGTCAGACGCGGCTGATGCTGCTGCTGCTCCACTTCAAATTAAGTCCCGGGCCATGCGGCTGCTGACATTTTAAATTGATTATGGGTCATGTCCGGCGGGGCTAATGGGCATATTATATTCAGTAGCTAAACGTCAGGTTGCAAGTCAATTGATGTTGCATAATCAGAAGGATTAACTTGCAAATTTAAGTCTAAACATGCTTCTGCATTTAAGGCTCTTTGTAAGCGTATATGCTGTGTCAGTAGAAGTCGCATTGATGTCTACTGGACTTGTACTGTAACTAGAAGTTCCATGAGCACAATCGTATTTTCCCAAAATATTCATTAAGGTATTTTGAATTGTCATAGAGTGCTACTTAAAAACTACATAAGGTGATTTGTATTTTCTCAAAGTATTTATCGAAAAGCTGTACTTAAATAAGTTTGAAAGTTTGTTCCAAAACATTTTAATCTTCTGAAATAGAATTTCTCATATTATAACTTTTCATTACTTTTTGTTCTTTCGTATTCCGTCTTACAATATAACTCCTAATATATTTATTTATTGTTTAATGATACTCCCAATTATACTCCTAATTCTCTTCTTATTCCTAATAGGACTCCTTATTTAAGTCCTAATTCTTTTCGAGTTTCTCATAGTATTCCGTATTTTACTCCTAATTCTTATCAAATTCGTAAAAATACTATGTTTTTCTTCTGCTTCTTTTCATAGTCCGCATAGTAATCTTTATTAACTCCTAATTCATTTCGAATTCCGAAAAGTACTCCTAATTTGTTGTTGAACCCCAAATACAACTTCTAATTCTGTATTGTATCTTTGAATTACCCCCAATTTGACTTCTTAGAGTATTTCCTATCGTCTTCCCAGTCCTATTCATATTTTATTCTTTGCCTTTTGTCACATTTAATTGTCCACTAAAATATGCCATGGTCTCGGCTCAAGAGAGAGCTAGCTAGAGAGCTATGCAAATGCTTTAAGCTAAGGTTCAAGTGCGCGACTCACCGCAGCCATGAGTGTCTTCCCCTGCCCTTTCTCCATACCCCAGCGGTATCTCAAATTACAACAAAGAACAAAACCAAACTAAACAAAAAGCACAGAAACAGACGCCAAATCCGAATCGGATTTCGATTTCGACGGCGACTACGAGACAACTTCATAGCTGGCATTTCTACCATTGCCAGACGAAGGCAACGGGGCGAGGCAGAAGTTGGAGGAGAAGGAGGAGGAGAACATGGTCGAGGATGTCGACATGGCTTCAACAATTTTGTAATTACTTTGAGCCGCATGCAAATGCAACGACAACTTCTCAGTTGGTAGTTGGATAATTTCTCTGGGATTGGGTTGGGGATTGGGATGCTGGAGAGCGAGCTGTTAGCTGTGGGCGGCTGGAATTTTATAATTAATCGGCAACGTTTTTCACACGACTTTATTCACAACCAGGCATCCCTGACATCAATGAACTCGTCCCGCTCCTCCGCATAGTCGGTGGCCACCGCCTCCTCCTGGTCTTGGCGCGCATAGTGATTGAATAGCATGTCCCGATGCGATGGCATCAATTTGCCGCTCTCGCAGCCATGCCGGTCCTCATACGTGATCTCGCCCAGGCCCATGCCGTGACTCTGGCCGTGACTGTGACTGTGACTCTGGCCGTGACTTCCATGACCCATGCTGATGCCGCCAACGCCGCCGTGTCCATGGCCGCCGCCGTGTCCACCTTCGCCGGAGAAACCCACCACCTTGTAGACAGTCTGCTTAATGCCGCCGGCGCTGCCGCCGCCAGAGCCATGCAGCACCTTGTACACGGTGTGGGTGTGATGATGCGTCTTCATCTTGACGGGCACGTGGATTACCAGCCGGCGACTGGTGATGCGACGCGCCTGCAGCATGGTGGCCGTCAGCAGCAGCAGAGCCAGAAGATTGCTCGCTTTCAAAGGCGGCGCCGAGAGCTGAGAGAGGAGAGCGAGAAGGCGAGAGTAATTTGAAATTAGTTGGTTGAAGTACAAAGAGAATCTTTGATTCTAGACTTCAAGGCGAATTCCATTGGCAGAATGTTTTCTACATTTCTGATATTTTTTAGTATTTCGTTAGACCTTTTACTAAAACTTTCGATTGATTGAATATTTGATAATTATTCAACCAATTTTAATTCAATATCAAATATTGTAATAATTATTCATTACAATTGAAATGATCACAAGAATGTTGCCTACATTTCTGATATGTTGATTGGTTGAATGTGTGTAATTGCATATTTATTTATTCATATAAATTCATCAGCAATTATTGAAATAATTATTCAGAACAATGGAAATGATGACAGGAATGTTAGTGCTTGACAGTGGAACCCATGAATGACATTCGTTCGACACTTTTATGCAAAAAATACATTCCAAATGACAAGACAATTGGTCAATGGAATCAATGAATGACATTCACTTTAAACTATATTAAGTTGCATAGTTTGCTTTAGTTTTTATTTCACTCATCATTCAAAATGACAGATATGTTTGTAATTCCACTGGCTGAATGACATTCACCTCATCTTAAATGCTTAAATATGTCTGTAAATCCTTTCAGATCAACTTCATAAATAATTTTCTGATCTTATTCAAGAGTTATTTGCTATTCACTTCGTTCATTCACTGCACTCACTAATTATTCACACAACACTCACATGTGTCATTTTGGTTTTGGCTTGTGTTGTTGTTGTTTAATCCTTGGCTGCGGGCTGCTTGCCACCGTTTGTGGCACGTTCGCTTTTCGCACTGTCTGGGCGGGCTGGCGGCTGGCGAGCTTTTATATTGGCCGTGATTGGGCCCAGGTTCAGGGCACCGTGGTGCAGCATGTGGTGCACAGCCAAGTTATTAACGAGTGTCGATTGCATTTGATGTGGCCGCTGCTGCAGCAGCCTGCCGCTGTGCCTGCCACATTTGCATGCCACACATTACCCGCATTACGTGTATTTAATTATGATTAAACAAGTTGTTGCCGCGCTTGTTATCGGCCGGGGGGAGTCGGGTGGGCGTGGCTGTTGGCTGTTGGCTGCTCACTCGTGCGCTCCACAAGAGGTGGCAACAATTGAACAATTTTCGCCACAGCTTCTCGCCTCGCCATCTGCGGCATGCAAAAACGGAAGCAGTCTCCACCAGGCGCCCCTTTGCGCAAATGCCAATCATTCAACCAAAAATAACTAAATCCATAGTCAAATATAAATACTGTATGTCATCGACTCGGCAATCGTACAGCATGCAACATTTCTATTTTATGCAACTGCTGCGAAATGCGGAAAATGCGACACAGTTTTTTTTTATATTTCTTTGCCACTTAATTATTGTCTTATAATTATTATGCTTAGCTCAAATTACATATCTCATATGATATATGCATGTAATCTTTAAGTGGCGGGCTTTGATTGTGTTGATTATGACATTATTGTCATATCTTAAGTTCACACACATTTCAGATTCTCAGAATATGTTTAAAGAGAGAAAGAAGCTTTTGACTCCATTCTTTAATTTAACCTTAATAAGTTCTCTTGACTATGCTATACAGAAGTAAAAACTCGGTGTTTACAATCCGATCT